AGGAGAGTAAATTAAGACATCATTTGCTTCCGTATCAAGAGGTTTGCTTCATGATTTTTAAAAGTCCTCAATATCTCTTCATATTTAAGGATATATTCAGCATAAGATAGAAACTTTTTTTTAAGATAGAAACTTCTTTTTAAAATGTATTTATTTGAGAAAAAGAGAGAGAGAGAGAGAGCAAGCACGAGCAAGGGAGGGGCAGAGGGAGAGGGAGAGCAAATCTCAAGCAGACTCTGTGCAGTGTGTGGAGCCTGATGCAGGGCTCGATCTCATAACCCTGAGATCATGATCTGAACTGAAACCAAGAAACAGATGCTTAACTGACTGAGCCACCCGGGCACCCCAAGACAGAATCTTCTTAGCATGCTATTCAAGATGTCCCTCATGCCCTGACTGCTTCTACTGCATGTCCCTCATCATTCTGGGCTTATATCCTACATTCTTGGCAAAATGAATTACCTCAGGCTCCCCCAAACAAGGCATAACTCTGTACCACTCAGTCCTCCCCCACCCCTTCTTGCCCCAGCATTTAATACTTAGCTCAGTGCTCATTGTCTCTAGAGAAGCCTTCTTTGACACGTCTTCCCTGGCCCTCTCCTCTGTGTTCCCTAATTCTCTACACTCACTCCGGAAGCTTTGGGCTTCTCCCAAAGTGCACAACACTTCCGTTCCCTTACCTCTCCTCCAAACTAGGACCAAGAGGTCCCGAAGGCAAGGATTATATCTTTAATTGCTTTAGCTAAAGTACATATATGATACATGAAAACATTAGGTAGATGATACATTAGCTGAATGGAAACGTAAAAGAATGGAGGGAGTTTAAAAAAAAGATGCATTAGTACTTTGTAAGAGAGAGGGAAATTGTTCTGGAAAGGAGAAATCTGAGACAGGCTGCCTAAGAATTATGAAACTGAATGTAGGTACACTTCCCTTGACGTCCAATGACAATTAGTTTAATTTCCTGAATTCATTTATATCATCTTAACCAATTCCTTCTGGAAATATTTTTTTAGGTCCGCTACTTGGACAGGTTTCTTCATTCTTCAATATGTACAACACCTGGGCCATTTCACTTGATTGTTTCCCATGTCTGGGCTAACACGCACCTATTCTGAGAATGGGAAAATAGTGTATACATAAATGAGAAAAATCGTACCAAGCTCCATCCTTACTTTGATTTCATCTGAAACAATCAGCTGCCATCCCACACTGACAGTTAACCCTTCTTGTATTCGTTGCTAAGTGATTTAGCAATAAGTTCACCAACATGGTAGATAGCCCCAAAATGGAAAAGGGGTCTCTCAGGTTTTTAAGTAACGTTGGCTCAGTGTCCACTTGAATCCAGTGGCCGGTTTATGAAAAAGCATTAGGAGCAACATTCTGGGGTCCTGTGTGCTAACATCGCCACCTGCCGCTCACTCCAGGTACAAACTGCCGTACCTCAAGCCAAAGGCTGCGGACGCTCTGAGTAAGAAACAGACCCTTGAACCTTGGGGTAATCCCAACCTCTAGCAGGATTAAATGCCAATCGATGCCACTCCTGAATCCACAGGGCAAAGGCCGTGGGGAGGTCTTGTCGAGGTGGATAATTAGGTGATGATTCTACTTTACTGAATTGCACAAATCTAGATTTTTGCGTTATGTTTTGTTCTCTGCTGTATCCCCAACATTTAGAATAGCACCTGACACACAGTAATTATGTAGCAAAAATATGCTAAAGAAATGAGTCCCTAAAGAAGGAGAGTAATTAATTATTCACCACACTACTTAGAGACGTCACTAAAAGAAATTATTATGACTTTCTTTCTAGTAAATAAGAATATCCATATATGAAATTGAGCAAGAGGGGAATTAATTACAATGAAGGGAGAGGAAGAAAGAGGGAAAATTTCCAGGTGCTTGCAACAAAGGTACCAGCAATATATGATTTTTAAAAATCCAGATTAAAAAGAGAAATATATATGATAAGAAAGCACTAACAATAGTCCATTCTGCAGATGAGATTAGGACATCTTTTTCATTTTAACAAAATTTTTAAAAAATGAAAGTCGTGTTTTTAAAATCATACATTTCACTTTTTACTGAGCAAATACTCGAGCTGTCACATTCATTCATTCATTCATATATGATACTAGCATATTTCCTTACGCTGGTATTTGGCACAGATATTGAAGGGGAATATTGACCTAGCTTTAACAAATTTGGAATAAGGTTGTTTGCTGAACAAATAATTCACTTATCAAGAATAGAATTGGTTTTCAAAGCAAATAACCGTTTTTTAAAGCACTCTTTCTTTCACAGCGCTGCATGTGTTGGGAGAGTCACTAGAGCTCCTAGCCATCATGATTGGTGTGCCAAGAATGCCTAACACTGACCCTTCTTTATTTGGGCCATTTCTCAGTGTTTGGTTTGCAGCCAGCAACCTTCAGGGCTGAGGAAATGTCTCCTTCTGAGACAAACGGCAGGCTGGATTATTGTTTGCTATAAAACAGATTCCCCAAGCTGAGGGTTCCCCTCCTAGAACTCCACCAGGCTGCACCTGCAGTCGTCCAGCTGGGCCCATCTGCTGGCCCATCGCCCCCCTTACCCACCCCCTGCCCCCGCCCCAGGGAATTGGACTTAGGAAAGTGATTCGACACACTGACATTTCTTTTATTGTTTTTGTGAATAATAAAGTCTTTCAAAACTGACACAGCAGTCATGTGTCTTTTGTGAGCATCCACAAAACGGTGGCAAGTTAGCATATTAGCTTGAAATTTGGGTAAAATTTCAGGTGCCTCATAATCTTGGACAACATGATTTCATCTAGTGACAGGGATGCTCACAATTAGAAATATCCAGCGCACTCACGGTACAGTAAAGTGAATTTTTAAAAGGAAAATTCAGTGCTTCAGAGGTGATATAAATTGACAATACCCCTTACGTAGTGTAAACAGAATTTTCAGGGTAGCAAAAAAATTTAAGGGATTTTAAAATTATATTAATGTTTTAAATCCAGCTCTTTAACTAGGGTTATGTATAATTGTTATGCCAAAAGTTGGGTAAAATGGTGAGAATTTTGTAAAATTTGGAGATTCCACAATATAAATAAAAAATGAAAAATACCATTTGCAAGTCTTAAGAAGAGTTTCCTTCTTTCATTTAAATGGGCTTACCCACTACATTATTTCCTCACCTATTGCTTCTTAATAATATGATAAATTTTTCATTTCAAAAGTCATGATTAAATATCCAAGGTCCACACTCCGGCTTCTATTTTTGCTGACGTAAAAATCTAGCAACTTTCACCCTGATTCTTAAATTTGGAGTTAAAAATTACTTCCCTGATGTTTTGAAAAGGGAGAACAAATCCTATACCTTTGTAAGTGCCACTTGACTGTAGAGAATGCTATAGCATGGATAATACAGAATGGATAAATCCCAACTGAACTAGTTATAAGTTGAATGTCATGGCATTTCAAGTGATGAAACGGGGAATCTAGAAGTCAAGTCTTAGGGGTTAAGAAACATAATTTCTTAAGATTTGACCTGAATTTCTATATGAATTTGAGAAAGTAATCACTCTGTTCTTTTTTTTTTCCCACTATTGCAAGAAATGTCATTCTTTTTCCCTCAAGGCCCAGAAATAATGTAAGAACAAAGTCTCCCTGGAAAGTTACCAGATAATGAGAGCAGAGGAAGCAAGAGCAAGAGAGTAAGAATCAAAGAGAGTGAGAAAAACTATATTTTACAGGGCTGAAACTATAGGCTTATTGTAGAAGCCTTGTCTTACCATAGCAACAAGTTCTATGACTATCTTCCTTAGAAGCAGTATTAACCGATGGATGCCTCCCTCATTTTGTAGAATGAGGGTGCAATGCAAGTTAGAGATCTCTTATTTGAAATCAGGACTATTTAAGAGGAACTTTCCTAAAGCCCTACCATTTACTCAGTTCAATAGCTCCAGTAACATGCTCTGTTTCTTCTCTTAGAACAAAGAAATCCCAAACAAATAATTTGCCAAATATTTCTTGAACACTTCCTTATTTACTGTTAATTCCAGCACCTCTATTTTGGAATGGTACTCTTCATCCTTTTCAAATTTCGTATTAGTAAAAAATTAAGGAAATATTTTTATATGTGCCAGAACATTGTATTCAGATTGTTGATATCATGACCTTAAATCACAATACACTTACCTTCTGGGGGGTTATCCTTTGGTTTCCTGTCACATTGTCCAGTTTCAAAAGTATCACTGAAATTTAAGGTATTAAGCAATTCGAATAAGTCAGTTTGGAGGTGTATTTAGATTGGAAAAGGTAGAAAAAAGTGTTCAAATAATAATATCATCAGCTTCAGAACTACATGTGAGGTGAACATGTAGACATTCCCAGTCACCAAGAGCCACCTGCTACCATCAGTATCAAGTGAATCAGCCATGAGAAGCAGAGCACTTCTCCAGCTCAAGAAGACCTGGGGATGGTCCAGAGCAAGATTTTCCCTTGGCTGACTTTAAAAGGCAGACCCAAGGCAGGGCAGTCGGGTTGAGGCTCTGCTTCTAGCCTTATGGTTTGCACGCAGAAGGCTTGCAACATCCATATATCTTTACTTGATATATGAAAGAGAATTTTTAAAGGGGAAATATATTTTCGGTAAAAGTTTCAAAGGGTCCATTTCATCCAGACATACTTTATGATAATTCCGTTACTCCGTGAGAAACACTGCCATGTTGGCACAAGCATCCCCCTGAAACAGATCAACGACAGCTCTAAGATGAAACTCTCAAGGGGACTTTTTTTTTTTTTTTTTTGGCATGTCAAGGCACAGAGTCTCCTATTTTGAGATCCAAGTAATGGCCATGACAAGAATCTATTTTAGAAGTTCATTTCTGCTGCTATTAATTTTGAACCTGTGTGCAGAACCCAGACTTCTGCGATGTGCCCCAGCCTAGCGAGGTAACGAGCCACTCACCCGTCTGCCCTGATTACCTAAAATTACCAATGTGACCTCACACTGACCTGATGAGCGCTGCTAAAAAAACCGTTTGCCTCTCTTAACCAAGTTTTCCTTTCCGCCATGAGCTGACCAAGTTCTCCTTGGAGCTGATTCAGTTTCTGGTTAGAGAGCTGTAGGTGCTCTTTCTCCACGTAGCCCTTGGACAGCAGAATCCCAAGTGCATCACTCTTCAGCTTCTCAACAGCAGAATTCCACTCCTACAAGAGAGCACTCCAGCTTATTTTACGCATCCTCCCCTTTGCAAACTTTGGTAAGACTCAGAGAACATCATTTAGGTGCGTTGACCGTATCAGAAACGTGTCCCTATATTTTCAAATAATGATAGGGTAAATGCTCCATTCCAGGTTTGAGTACCAAGATGTAGTAGTAGAGAGAGAGAGAGAGAGAACAAAGGCAAGAGGCCAGAAAAGGAGAGGGATGATAGCAGGAAAGGGCAGCTCGGCTGGGGTGGGGGGTTGGGGGGGTCAGGGAGTGTGACTGATGGAGTGTCCAGTTGCCCCGCACACAGGCCACTTCCCCTTCCATTAATGCTGTCTGAAAATATACTTCAAAAATAGGCAACAGTGTTTTTCAGTCTCTAACTCTTTGCAACCTGTTTTCACTCATTCAAATAAAAAGAAAGTCTCTCTCCCACAATTCAATCTCATTGCCAATGTGGGCAAACGAGTACAAGAAAGGAAGAGAAATCTCATATTTTATGGCTGGTGTTTTTGTATGTGCCTACACTTAGAACCGAAATTAAGATCTGTTATTCTTCATGAAATTAATAGCGGTTATTGTGCAGTATTCTCTCCTTCTTGACCTGAGTCTCACCTCTCAATGCTTCATTCTTAATGCTATATAAACATTTCAGGAAAAGAAAAGAGGTAGCTTTTTGCTTTCTGTTACATGAAGAAGAAAAACAGTTAAGTAGAGAAGAAAGAAAGTAAGTAAGTTGGGGTAAACTGAACATATTAACAATTTATTTAAAGGGAAATTTAAATTTCTTGCAAAAAGAACTGAAGCCAGATTCAGCTTCCTAAAGCCATGCTTATCTCTAACATGGCAGTCTTGCAAGTGAATTTTCTGGTACCTCTCTTAGCTGAGACTGGAGCGCTAAGCATAGGTTGTTTTTTAAAGCATCAGAGATTTAGCGCCAAATTTCAAAAATTACAGTCTGACTCCATCCTGGCTTGTTCCCCAGGGTAAAATATCCTATTATTAAGTTAAATTTGTTATATTATACTGTGCAAAATAAGTATGATTCTAGTGCAGTTTACCACTACTATTTCCATTCATTCATTTCAGAAGACATACTAAATACTATGCACTTGGCATCACACTCGGATGGATGATTTGGGGGTACAAAGAAAGAATAAAATGTAGTTCTTTCCTTTAACAATATATAAACTGCTATTTTACATCATGTTCATGTATATTCATACCATCAACCATATGAAATGTATGCTGGTGCTCCAAACACATCGTGATGACTCAACTAATGGAACCAGTGACTGCGGGGTTCTTCAGCCTGGCTACCTCAATGGCGGTAACTGGAAAAAGCACGATAGTGGTTGATCATTCTCTCAGCCTTCTGAGAGAATGACCAAAAGTGGGGGGAGGGTTGTTAAAAACAAATGGAGACCAGCCCTGAAAATTGCCTGGGCAGACAAGACCAGTTGAGTCATACAAACAAAGCTTAATTTAGCTTATTTTGTGAGACTGTCTTGACCTGGGTCATTTCTTGTTTACACCTCTGGAAAGTATAAGCAAAACTTGAACCTTCCCCAAGGTGGATATGAGGTAACCACTGACCAATTCCCTGTCATTTAAGAAAATTCTCATATTATGACCAATAATTGTGAAGGGTAAGCAGTCACAGCCTCCTCACTATATTAGCTGCTTTGTAATACTAGACCCTTGAGCCTTGTTCTGTATTTTGGGGTGAGTGCTCCGGTTTGCAAACTGTCTTTTTCTTGTGTGCACAATAAACTTTTACTAATTACTACTTTGGTGATTCACTGTTTTTACTTCTGGTATTTATGAACTTTTGACACTCCAAATTTCTCAGTGAGTGCAAAATCAATATTCTGAAGCATGAACACAGGCTTTGTGATTTCCCAAGCTCCTTCTTTTTTTAAAGAACAATTAGGCCCCCCACTTAATTCAGTTAATATGTGTCATGACATTCTTTCGTAAAACACTGTAAATATCCCTCCCACTTAAAAACTATTACCTTAACCTTATGAGGAAAGAGCAAATGTTTTTAAAGCAGTTAGCACAATTTCTGGCACAGGAAATAGGCATTCACTAAATCTTAGTCCCCCTTTACATTCCATCAGTTTTATCATGGTTCACTACCACTCCCAAATTTGTTCTTCATGGGAATTTCTGTTTCTCAGCTCTAAAAATAATGGTAGTGGAAGGATTCTCTAAATGTTACTGACCAGTGTTACGTATTGATCCGTGTCGTGTATGATGTTTATGAGATAAACAAAATAAAGCAGGTTTCTTTACTGCAGGCCTTCTTGGAATCCTTAATATGTTAACATGCTTTGAGATTCCTAGCTGGAAATGTGGTTTGAAATATTCTGGACAAACTGTTTTGATCATGAAACCATGTGTTTACTGATCATCTCAGGGGACGAATCCTCCAGTTGGAACAATGTTGGGAAATTCTGTGCTTGTGGCTAAAAGCAGATGAATCACCTAGGAGGTCACCTGCTTTCACAAGTCTGTCTATGTCTTTCCTCTTTTGTCTCTATCCCTCCAGTGACCCAACTAGTCCATCTTCTGTCTTTTGTATCCATTCTCTCATTTTCTGTTAAGATATGTGGGGTATGGGGCACCTGGATGGCTCAGTGGTTGGGAGTCTGCCTTCAGCAGAGGGCATGATCCCAGGGTCCTGGGTTCTAGTGCTGCATCTAGAGCCCTTCTCCCTTTGCCTATGTCTCTTTCTCTCTTTCTGTGTCTCTCATTAATAAATAAGTAAAATTAAAAAAAAAAGATTTGTGGGGTACGAATCCTCAATGGACTCCAGAAGTGCTTCATGTGTTAAAACAGAATAAAGCAGGTAATTCTTTCAAAAAATTATCATTGACCAGAATCTTCTTGCTCCTTAGAGGAAGACCACTTAACCACTTGCTCATTAGAGGGGAAGGCCTAGAAAGCTAGGGAGAAGGAAATGGAAAAAGAGGACACAGAGAAGTGGGTTACTGCCATTATGTGTTCAGCCTGGACAACACAAAGCCCTAAGGTGTAGGTGTCCTAACTGTCTGCAAGATAGCGGTGATTTCTTTCTGCATGCTAAGCACTGTGCTAAATGCTTTACATCTATCATCTCATTCACTCTTCACCACATTCCTACAAGTTAGGAACTGTTATTATCCTCATTTTACAGATGGGGTGACGGAGGTTTAAAGGGATTAAGAACTTGCCTGAATTCTCAACACCAGTAAGTGAAAGAGCCAAAATTCAAACTCAGATTGTTGAACTCTAGACCCTGTTTCTCAATCAGTACACTGACCTCAGCACTTCAGAGAGGAGAGGTGGTGGAAAGTGTTTGTTACAGCATAGAAAGATTAAATTTATTGGCTTAGAATTACAGAGATGAAGGTTCTATGAAACCCTGATAAGGCCTTGGAAATAGAAAAGTCTTAAAGGACCCTCAGATTTTCTGATTTAGAATCAGAAGCTTCATTGTTTCTAAATAAACAATGCTGTTACATATAGAACTGAGAATTTATAGCCCAAACTCAAGCTTAATTTTGCTTGGCGAATAGACCAAAATAATAAAACTCTTCTCTGTGAATAAGAAGGAAATACCTGTTCTCTAACAGTGTTCATAAATCTGCCTTTAGCATAAATTTTGCAAACAACATTAAAGAAAGACTTCTGGAGTAGAGCCAACTCTTTGAAAATATACTTCAACTTTGTGCTTCACATCATGTTTATAAAAAGTGGGCTATGACTTTCTAAAGAAGCTATAAAGGACCATTTTGTGGCTCGTATCTTTTCTTATTCTCCATCCCCAGTCTTCTTAATTGCATTTCACATGAACTCTGTGGGTATTAAATGAACTTGGGTCCGTTCAATATTTCTATTCAATCTTCTCAGAAAATTGGTTCTGTTTTCTTTGGGCAATCCGTAGGCAGTTTCTGATGTGTTTCTATAACATTCTGATGATGTATTTCCCCAGCCATTTTTCTTAGGGGATGCATCCACCCCTATTTTATTTTTAACATAAAATGTTCCAGAGTCATCTGAATCCATCACACTATTTTTAAGAAACTAAGCTGTCACTGTTGTCAGGGCGGGAGGAACCCAATGGAGAAAATTGCAGTCCGTCTTTGCTAGCCATTGCTGGCTGCCTGCTAAGTGTTAAACCTCTTGACTGTGTTTCAGTCACTTAGCAATAAAATATTTCCAGTATGTATCCCTACCAGCTGAAAGCCAAAGCCTGCCATTTCCTTGGCTTTTCAGTCTTGACAGAGATACATGCATATGTCTGACCTAGTAAAGACATGTGGCACTGTGTGTCTGGGCTCGGGGTGTCTCCTCAGGTCACTCCGTTTTTTTTTTTCTTTCTCACTCGCGGGTGTTAACTTTTTAAACTGTACCTTTCAGTGTTCCATCTGCTGAGGAAATTGAGCTTCTGTTGGATCCCTTGATTGAAAGGTATGTTTAAGAGGATTAATGCTGATAGACAAGAAGGTGAAAATGACTTCTTCTGTCTTTTCTATACTCCCAGGTTAGGTCTTTGAATGAAGTCATGGACTGGCATAAAAATTATCCAGCAAGTAGATTCAAAAACTAGGAAGATTAGCTCCTCCATTTAAAAAGAAACACTATAATCACAATATGTTTATAAGCTTCTATTCATAGGAAAACTTCGCTGTAGATGAGAGGGTTTAATGACCCAACACCATGTGGTAAAATTATTTTCGTTATAAACTTGACTTCAGAATGTACTTTTTAAGTGGAAGGGGGAAGATGGACAAGAAAGAATAAAGGACGTATTTATATAAACTACTAAGAAAATACCAGCTGTGGAGATGACGGGCCAAAATCACATCTGGCTGAAGCATGTGTGGAGCTCATGTATAGTCCCCAAAAGCATGGCTATTTCCTAGGACATCTCATTAGACACAGACCATTTCTTGTTCATTTTCTAAGTCTATAGTCCCATTTGGTTCAGCACCAAGGAGAATTAACTCAT